ACATACGTATACACATAACACATATGTGTATAACACACACGTATACACATAACGTAAACATACAGAACACATACACAGACTGGGCCACAGCAACGTGTAGCAGGAGATGGATAGTATAATTTAAAAAAGCATAAAACACACACACTTTGGAAGAAATAACTCTTAACTTTCAACATCCTTTACTTCATTCACGCCCATCAATACCCTTTACTGATTCACACGTCCTCAGAGAGACCGTCACTTAAATTTGATTCCTGCAAAAAACACGAAACTTACATTATTGGGGCAGTTGATGTGACCTTTTTCCTTGACTTCATTTTTCCAGGTTTCTAGGAGCCTCGGATTCAACTTTGGGAGCCCAGGACGAGTGTAATTTAGCTGCCGAAGAGACAATATTGTTGTTAATTGGGAGAAGATAACACTAATTATTCCAGATCTCTTCTGTAACTGGATCTATCATATGGATCAATAGTTTGATAGCATTCTCCTAGTTATATACTGGGCATGTAGTTCCATGCAAGGACCATAATCATGGTTCAAAGTGACAGTTTTGTTACAATAGGGCACATCTATGCTGTAGAAATAATGAAGTTTGGCATCATTTTAACTATCAGGCTTAATACTCTGAAATCATGGGAGTTGTGATTTTTCAAGGTCTTTGGTCTTTTTTGTCAAACAGTGCTAATGTTGGATTGTTGAAGGTTTTTCTGGGCTATATGGCCATGTTCTGGAATAGCCTGGAAAAACCTACAACAACCCAGTGATTCCGGCCATGAAAGCCTTCGACAATACAGTGCTAATGTTTTACAAAGCTACAAATCCCAGGATACTGAGCTGTGGCAGTAAAGGTGGGATCAAACTCCATTAATTCTGCAATGTAGATGGACCCAGAGTCTAAAATCCAGATCTTATGAGCCCCAACTGGTTTAGAATTTTGGATATCTCCTTTAAAGTTTGTCCTGAAGATCAGAGGAGAGGGTTACCATAGAGGAGTCACACTGGAGGTCTATGAGAGCATTTTAAACCAATCCACAAATAATTAAATCCACAAATGTCTATCCTGCAAATGTGGAGGGCCAAATGTAATGTGCTTCGTATTGTCTTCATGCTTTTATTAATTTACCTCTTATGCCTGCATTTCTGGAACTGCTCTAGGATCCCAACTTCTTTAGATAAATCACATGTGCTCACTCACCCGTTTTGTTTCAGGGACCAGGTCATCCTTCATCCTCCGCTTGGTCCAATCCTTGGCCAGCTCATCCTCCGCTATTTCTTGCAAATGGAAGACGGCTACCTGGGCAGAGGTGCGCCGGATCCTGCCACTCGGAGTCCTCTCAAAATCTTCCATCGGGTTGGATTCAGGCTTTATCTCTTGCTTTTCAGGAGGCTGAGAAGGCAACAGGATGGGTGTTGAAATGGAGAGTGTTACCAGAATAAAGGCAGAAGGAGTGATAACTGCAGACACATAAGTATAGACAGCCTTCCACATTCACTGAGATTACGGACACAGGAAGTGAAAATGCAAATGAAATACCAGCTATTATTTTTACCCAAGAGAACACATCTCCAAATAATTTCTAGGTTCTCCAAGCCATACAATTGCATTGGAGGGCCTAGAGAGGTAGTCTCTTGGGGCCAGAGGTTTAGCACAGCATCAGCAATTAGAAGATCTATCAACCAAAAAGGTTGCAAGTTCAAAACCCGGGGTTGGCATGAGCTGCCAACTGTTACCCTAGCTCATTGTTTACCTAAGCAATTTGAAAACAGCTTTAGCTGTAATTAGAGAAATTAGGTACCGCTAAAAGTGGGGGAGGTGTTTTACGACGCCATAAAGAAAGAAGATCAGAAAATGCTGGGCAACCAAAAGGAAGGAGGAAGTCCTGACGGCTCTTCGTCATAGAGGATAGAGCAACAGCACCCCCTGGACTCAAGCCCAACCTTCCATGGCACCAAAAACAGCTGAAACAAACTACCTCCCATTCTGTCTGCTTGTATACTGTCTATACAAAAGCGACATTGAATGTTTGCCGAGCATATGTACTGTGATCCACCCTGAGTCCCCTTCGGGGTGAGTTGCTGTGTACTATGATCCGCCCTGAGTCCCCTTCGGGGTGAGAAGGGCAGAATATAAATAAAGTGTTGTTGCTATTATTATTATTATTATTATTATTATTATTATTATTATTATTATTATTATGGAATTTCTAGTTCTTACAGCATCAATTTCCAGCAAACAATGATAGATCTGGACCAAACTTGGCATGAATACTCAATATGCCCATATGTGAAAACTGGTGGAGTTTGGGGGAAAATGGACCTTGACATTTGGGAGTTGTAGTTGCTGGGATTTATAGTTCACCTACAATTAAAGAGTATTCTGAACTCCACCAATGATAGAATTGGGCCAAACTTGACACACAGAACCCCCGTGACCAACAGAAAATACTGTGTTTTCTGATGGTCTTTGGCGACCCCTCTGACACCCCCTCGCGACCCCCACAGGGGTCCTGATCCCCAGGTTGAGAAACGCTGTCATAACTGATTTGCATCAGTCGTCCTGCCCGAGCCCAGAAACCGTTTACTATTTCAGGCCATGGGTTGGTTGCTCGATTGTTGTTTTTATACTGTGTTATAAGTTGTTATTTTAGTGCTTTATGATGTTATTTTATGAATTCTATTGTGTGATATCTTAACTATGTTGATTAGGCTTGTCCACATGGAAGCCGCTCCATGTCCCTTTGGGGAGATGGAGACGGGATACAAAAATAAAGGTATTATTATTATTATTATTATTGTTATTAACAGTGCTTAAAATAATATACAATTTAAAATCTAAAGATTATACACATTAAAACAGAATTAAACCAAACACTATTTAAAAGCAATCCATTAAGACCTGTTGAAAATACATAAGACATCCCACTCCACACCTTGACTTTATCTTACAAACTTCCCTCTTTAAAGGCTTGCCTGAAAAGAAAGATTTTAGGCTGTTGGTAGAAGGATTTCATTTTTCTTTTGATTTTCCATAGAGAAAAGAACACTGAGACTACATTAGGACATTGCACCTGGTTCAACCTAGATCGACTTTTTCCTTTTACAGAAAAATTCCCTGTTTATTTCCAATTTATTTATAATTTATCTCCTTTGAAGGAAAATTTCGAGAGCTGTAGATCCTCAAAGTGTTACTTGCCCAAGTTCAAGGTCAATAAAGACATGAGTCCTGATTCGGGAGAAAAGCGGGATAGAAATAAATAAATAATAACGGGGAGCAAAGATGAGAGACAGAAAGTTCAACTCACGGCAGAAGGATGCTCAGACCTCAGGTGGTAATCATGTCCAGCTTTTGACTTGTAGGTCTTCCCACAGTGCGGGCAGGTGAAAAGCGGCTTCTCGACTTCGGATGGTTGCTTCCCACACCGTTTCTGGTGGTATTGGTAGCCCATAAGGCTAGAGAAGGTGGCCACACAACCCTAGAACAAGAAGAACCAGAAGTTAGTTGGGGAATAGTAGGATTGTGATGTAAGCAAACTGACAATGGTATTGAAAACTTGCCTTTCAACCTTCCCCACATTTTGCAGCTGAAGGTTAAGGAAGCAGGAAGCTTGATTTCGCTGTATTTTCCTAAATCCCACTGTACTCAATTCTTCTATGGTTTGCAAGAGTTTGAGTTTAAATCCTGTATGGATTTAAATGGCAATAGGACTTTGAGACTATGGTTTAAATTCCTGCTCAGAAATGGAAACGGACTGAATGAGCTTAGGCAGGTCATGCTCTCTCAGCTTTAGAGAAAGGCAATGAGAACGACAAACCCCCTTCTTGCCAAGAAAACCGTATTATAGAGCAGTGTTTCTCAACCTTCCTAATGCTGTGACCCCCTAATACAGTTCCTCATGTTGTGGTGACCCCTAACCATAACATTATCTTCGTTGCTACTTCATAACTGTAATTTTGCTAATGTTATGAATCATAATGTAAATATCTGATATGCAGGATGTATTTTCAAATCCCAAATACGCGATATGCTCAAATTTGAATACTGGTGGGATGGGGGTGATTGATTTTGTCATTTGGGAATGTTGGAGTTGCTGGGATTTATAGTTCACCTAAAATCAAAGAGCCTTCTGAACTCCACCAATGATGGAATTGAATCAAACTTGGCACACAGAATTCCCATGACCAAGAGAAAATACTGAGAGGGTCTGGTGGACATTGACGTTGAGTTTTTGGAGTTGTAGTTCACCTACACCCAGAGAATACTGTGGACTCAAACAATGGTGGATCTGGACCAAACTTGGCACAAATACTCAATATGCCCAAATGTGAACACTGGTGGAGTTTGGGGAAAATAGACCTTGACATTTGGGAGTTGTAGTTGTTGAGATTTATAGTTCACCCACAATGAAATGGCATTCTGAACCCCACCAATGATAGAATTGGACCAAACTTCCCACACAGAACCCCCATGATCAACAGAAAATACTACGTTTTCTGATGGTCTTTGGCGACCCCTATGACACCCCCTCTCGACCCCCACAGGGGTCCCGACCCCCAGGTTGAGAAACACTGTTATAGAGAGTCATCAGCATGTAGTTGGTCTTCTTTAGCACAGTAAGCTAATCATCAGCTGCAGCTGCAGTAAATCTTGCCAACCAAAAGGTTGACAGTTCACAGCCGGGTCAGGGTGAGTTCCTGACCTTCAGCCCACCTAGCAGATTGAAAATGGCAATGTGAGTAGATGAACAGGAACCACATTAAGTGGAGACGTATTTTAGGCACGGCGTTTGGAGGAAAATTTACGAACAAAGAAAGCTCTTTGGCAAGGAGATGGAGCGACAGCACCCTCTGTGACCGGAACCGAGCACAGCCTCCAAAAGACACCAAATGATGAGAAAAGGCCTATATATACCTCTATCTTTTGTCTGTCTTGTCATTGTATAATCAGCATTGAATATTTGCCATATATATTTGTTCTGTGATCCTCACTGAGCCCCCTTCGGGGTGATAAGGGTGGAATATAAGTACTGTAAATAAATCTAGATAAATAAAAATGTAATGTTCGTTTGTGGGATTAACAGAACTCAAAATAACTGGACGAATTGACACCAAATTTGGACACAAGACACCTAACAACCCAATGTATGTCCTTCACTAAAAAAAAATGATTTTGTCATTTGGGAGTTGTAGTTGCTGGGATTTATAGTTCACCTACAATCAAAGACCATTCTGAACCCCACCAACGATGGAATTGAACCAAACTTGGCACACAGTTCTCCCATGACCAACAGAAAATACTAAAAGGGTTTGGTGGGCAGTGTTCTTTGGTTTTGGAGTTGTAGTTCACCTACATCCAAAGATCACTGTGGACTCAAATAATGATGGATCTGGACCAAACTCTACATGAGTACTCAATATGTCCAAATGTGAACACTGGTAGAGTTTGGGGGAAATAGAATCTTGACATTCGGGAGTTGTAGTTGCCGGGATTTACGATAGAATTGGGCCAAACCTCCCACATAGAACCCCCATGTGGGCCATAGCAACACATGGCAGGGGACGGCTAATAAATAAATAAATAAATAAATAATTGTAGTTGTTGTTTGAGTCTTTTACTTCAGAGTATGAATCTCCACTTGGCCACTGAGTGACTTTGGGTAAGTCACACACTCTCAGCCTCTGAGGAAAGCAATGGCAAACCATCTCTCTAGAAATATTGCAAAGAAAACTCTGTGATGCCTAAGCTGGAAACAAGGTGAAGGCACAAAAGCACGGTAATTGACAACTGCATGCATTTTCCATACACGTAAAACAATTATACACACCCCTCTTGAGAGAAACATATTATTGCATGTTTTTCAAGCATAATAAGACCCCCATATCCATGGGGGATATGTTCTCAGCTGAGCCATGATTACATGAACCTGTATATATGAACAAATACCATGCTTCCAGACCTTGCATGCCACAGAGTTGAGTTGGAATTTGCTAGCTTCTCTAACATAACCCTATGGGGCTGCCTTTGAAGACGGTTCGGAAACTTCAGCTAGTTCAACGGGTGGAAGCCTGATTACTAACTGGGGTGGCATATAGGGAGCATACCACCCCCTGCTATGCCAGCTCCACTGGCTGCCGATCCATCTCCGAGCCCAATTCAAAGTGCTGCTTTTGACCTATAAAGCTCTATACGGTTCTGGCCCAGCTTACTTGTCCGAATGCATCCACCCCTACAACCCACCTTGTAATCTAAGATCATCCGGGGAGGCCTTGCTCTCGCTCCCATCAACAGCACAGATGCGCCTGGCAGGGACGAGAGACAGGGCCTTCTCGGCTGTGGCCCCCCGCCTATGGAACACACTCACAAATGAGGTAAGATCCGCTCCCTCCCTCCTGGCTTTTAGAAAAAAATTAAATTCATGGTTTTGGGACCAGGCCTTCGGGTAGTAGAAGTACATGTATGCAGCATTTTGGAAAGACAATGACTGGAACGGTGATTCGATGGACAAGACTGTTTTATTGTTTTAATGATTGTTTTATTGCTCAAGGATGTATTTTTTTAATTTGATTTATGTCTAATTGTAGTGTATAATTGTAACTGTTTTACTGGCATTGAATTTTTGCCATTACCTATGTGTAAACCGCTTTGAGCCCCCCTCAGGGTGAGAAAAACGGTATACAAATACTGTAAATAAATACATAAATAAATAAATGATATGGTAACTTTCAGGGCACGTATACCATTGAAGCTCCTGGAGGACTTCTCAACCTCCAGAGATACCATTCTCTCTGAAACTCTTCCAGGAAAGTGAAACAGCAAATATAGGTTCTGAGTTTATAGGGTTATTGAAATAGCCACCACCATAATTTCATGATTATTTTTATATCCATCTCTCTCTTTCTGTTGCCACACATGGATTTCTGTGAACATTTTGAGATCTGTTGAAATGCACAGATGAACCTTAATTGTTCCAGACACATTTGGGGGGGGGGGGGAGCAGCCCCTCCGAAGCGATGTTGACAGTTGGTTAAATGTGACAGCCAACCTCCCACTCACCTGAAAAAGTGGAGAGCAGAAGATGCCACATTTCAGACAATCTCTGAAGCTGTCAGGAGGCATATGCACATGCCAGCACACATTACAGTTGGGACATCTGCTGTTCATATATCCACAGACACAAAATAACAGCGCAGCAGCTGAGACAATTTATGGCTAACCCAGATGCTACAGTATTTATTCATTTATTTACTATATTTCTGTCCCAATCTCTCTCATCCCGAAGGGAACTCAGAACGGCTTACAGTTTGGCAAATTTCCATGCCACATTGCAATACAAAATATATAAAAATATATAAATGCAGCACATTAAACAATAAAACAGATATAAATACAGTCACCCTATTAAAACAGCCTTGTCAAATAGCCATCATTCATACTACTACATTTATGTCGGTTTGATATTGCTCTATTCCCCAGACGCCTGGTTCCATAGTAGGTTGTCACTTTTTTCCTGAAAACCAGGAGGGAGGGGGCTGATATAATATCACTGGTGATGGAGTTCCATAACCAAGGGGCCACCACTGAGAAGGCCATGTCTCTTGTCCCTACCAGTTGCATCTGCGAAGGGGGTGGGGACCAAGAGAAGGGCCTCCACGGCAGATCTTAACACTCTAACCAGTTCATAGGGAGAGATACGTTTGGCACTTTGAATTGTGCTCGATATCAAACTGGCAGCCAGTGGAGCTGACGTAACAGGAGGGATGACTTCTCTCTGTACACCACTCTGGTAGGCAGTCTGGCTGCCGTCCATTTGACTACTTGGAGCTTCCAAACAGTCTTCAAAGGCCGCCCTGCATAGAGTGCATTCTAGTAGTCTATTTGAGATGTAACAGGAGCGTGGACTACCATGGCCAAGTCTGGCTTCTTAAGATACAGGCGCAGCTGGTGCACAAGTTTTAATTGTGCAAAAGCTCACCTGGCCACCACCAAAACCTGTGTTTCCAGGCTTAGTGAAGAATACAGGAGGATTCCCAAGCTGCAAACCTGTTCTTTTCAAGGTGAGCGTAACCCCTTCCAGCACAGGCTGTAGCCCTATACCCTGTACGGCCTTTCGACTGACCAGGAGTACCTCTGTCTTGTCTGGATTCAATTTCAATTTGTTCACCCTCATCCAGATCGTCACAGCTGCCAAGCATCGGTTCAGGATCTGAACAGCCTCCTTAGCAACAGGTGGAAAGGAGTGATAGAGTTGGATGTCATCTGCATACAGATGGTATCAAACTCCAGAAGTCTGGATGATCTCCCCCAGTGGCTTCATTTAGATGTTAAACAACATAGGGAAAAGAACTGAACCTTGTGGGACCCCACAAAACAAAGCCTGTGGTGCCGAGGAGGTGTCCCCCAGCAACATCTTCTGAGAGTGATCCTTGTGCTGTCGCACGCTGGGCCTGTGCATAAGACTGTAGACAGGACATAAAT